ATATTTGTCACACCTATTTGAACTTTTCCCATCTTAAAAGGAACAATTATTTGATATTTGATCCCAATCCCTGTGGAGACGATACTTTTCTTATCACTGTATTACTTGTGCGATCGGTAACTTGCCGGTGAGTTCGGATAATGTATTGCTTCAATTTCCCCTCTCTGACATGTTTCTCAATAGCATCTCGGAGGTCCCAGCAGTCATCCGTGGTGTGACAATTTTGATCATGGAAAACACAATATTTGTTCCTGTCCAATCCGCTTTTGCTCTTGAGGGGTCGAGGTCTTTCGACTTTGCGCATTTCAGTCTGAGCCACTTCTTTCCATATCCGAGATCTGGACATGTTTAATGGCGTATAGGTGTCATACTTGGTCCTTGGAGATCGGTCATCCGATCTCTTGTCATGAGAGTTGTTTCATTTTTTCGACCCCCTCTGATCCCGGTCTTTGTTTTTCTTGCTTGGGCTTCGTCCTCTGAACTCCCCATAAGCCTTCTGCATGTCTTCAACGTCAATGTACTTGTCCGACCTACGTCAAAACTCCTCCAGATCGTTGATCGGGTTCTTATAGATTGACTTTGCGAGTGGAGAATCACCATCTAATCTTGAGATGATCAGATGCAAGTGTACTGGCTCAGTTAGATTCCGAACCTTGAGGGCGACATCTTTAAATCTATCGAGGTATTTCCTCAATGATTCATTCTCTTTTTGCCGGATTCTTCCCAAGGCATAGGCTGGCATTGGATGTGCCTTACTCGTTGCAAAATTCAGACGAAAAGTTCGAGCCAGGTCCTCGAACGATTCGATCGAGTTCCTGGGGAGCCTAGTTATCCACGCCATTGCCTGACCTGTCAATGTCGTTGCGAAGATTCTGGCCTTAATAAGTCCAGTTATCCTGTTGAACAACATCTCAGTCTTGAAAGCCTCTAAGTGGGCATCCGGGTCTTGACTCCCGTCATACGGAGGTATCCTGGCGCTTTTGAATCTCGGCGGAATTGCCAAGTTCATGAGCCTTTCAGTGAATGGACTTCATTAGTCCCCTCATCATGGAGATAGTTATCTCCTTGGTTATTGACTGGTCCTCCGCCTTCTTAGTGGTTGCCGTTACGAGGATTCTGCACAGTCTCGGTTGCCGCGACTGTGTTCTGTTGCTGCGGCCCGCCAGTTTTGACCTGACCTGCTCTTCCAGCTTGGCCTTCGGTGCTTTGGTTTCGTACCTCAGCCTCCAATGCCTCAATCCTCTGGGCATCTAACCTTTGTTAAGCCAAGAATCTGTTTTCCATCTCTTGCATCCTTTGAAGGATTGCATTCATGACCCTAGTGGTCACATCTCCTGACTGATCATTTTGTGGGCGTGCTGTCTCCACCGTCGCGTTGGTCTGGGTTCTTAAGGGCGGCATCTGCGTGTCGACCTCTCCGACCTGGACATCCACCAACACAGGGGATGCTGTTGATTGGAGATGTTCCAGCGCAGATAGGTGTGGCGGCGGTTGGGCAGTGCTGGAAGTCGAACGAGTGTTCGTCATCGTGGAATGGGAATCGAAATTTATCGTTTCCCACAGACGGCGCCAATGTTTGATCCTGGAAAGACCGTATTGCTATACCATATGGTATGCGCTCAAGATACTGTATAATCAGATGTATACTAGGCTTATAGCCGATGTCCCAATCACTGCGTGTGCAATAGACTTATAGCCAAGACGTGGGTGTGTGCACAGTGTTGGCAGTAATAGTAAATAGGTTCAAAGTGTGTACCTAGGGTCTTTAGGCTCTTATTTATAAAGATTACCTTCCTAGGCTTGGGCCCTTCAGATCTCCCAGTTGCATCAGGGTTCAACTCCCTTTCTGTTGGGATAAGGTCTTTATCTTGAATATTTGACTGTTGGGCATTGTTAGGATAATTATATATTTATCCTTTAGTAGATTCTAAGGTAAGTAGTTAGGATATGATAGATATCCATAACAGTGTGAATGTTCATTATCTGAAACTTACTTTTACATCTCAATGTTTCCTAACAAATTGAAGAAGACGCAAGAATTTAAAATTTTCAATTAATTAAACCTTCATAAACTAAATAACTGTAAGAGTTGATCGTCATATTAACTTTCCAAAAATACTCCAACAAGTACATTTTAAAAGTATATATTTTTTGTTAGGAAGAAGGACCGATCCTGAGAGCTAGTACACAAATGTGAATGATAGCTAAGTGCAACCCGCAGAAATTTGATTCGGTCATCAAACACTTTTTATAATGACACGAGTCATTTGATTTACAGTTGCTAAAATATTACAAAATATATATTCATGGGTAGGCAAAAAATTGATATATTATTATTTTAATAAAAAATTACGAAAATATAGTTGTTTTGAATCAATTTACGGATTTATTGCACTCTGTTTCATCCATTTTAGGCGAAACAAGTGTCAAAAAATGGAATATGTATATTTCTTCATTTGTACAAAGATAATTATATACACTATCAAGTCATAAATCAGGAAATAAAAAATAATCCAAAATAAGAGAAATGATATCTCATATCAATTAATTCTAATTACAATTAATTCCTATAATTGCTATCACAATTAAAACCAGATAGTATCAAATGTATAGCTCAACAATCATATCCCTTATGTGGAAATTGATGAGGGAGTGACTAGGATACAATTCAACATTGATTTCAAATCTTCAATTCAACACTCCCCTCAAGTTGGTGAATGAATGTTTATCATACCCAACTTGCTGACTGTTACTTCAAACACTTTCCCAGACACAACTTTTGTCAGTATATCTGCTAATTGATCTTCAGATTTCACATATGGAACATGGATAATTTTCTGATCTAATTTTTCCTTAATAAAGTATCTGTCAACCTCAACATGCTATCATGCTGAACGGGATTATGAGCAATTTCTATGGCTGCTTTATTGTCACTATGTAAGACCATTGGCTGTTCATAATTAATACCCAAATCCTTTAACACACTTTTAATCCATAACAACTTGTTATTTGAAGACAATGAGTGATAATAAATCACTAAGAGGTTTCAACCCATGTATAGAACAGAAGAGATAATATCAAAAATATCATACACAGTGCGATTATGAAAATTAGAACAGAGTTACTTGTTGACAGTATAAAGGAACAAACAAATGAATGTATGCAGTATGAGGAATTAAATCCGAGCCCATAGAACGTGTCTCCTTAAGATAATTAGCCCCCTCACTGATGCCAAAGGTTGATGGACAAGAGTCTACCAGGAAAGAACGAATTTCGTCTGAAGAGTGGTGGCACTACCAGTCAACAGCCCAAACAAACAGAACAATTGCCAGAGGAAAGTACACCGGAAATCGAAAAGAAGAATGCAAATCGAAAGAAGGAAAAATTTCGATAGAGTAACAGTGCAGAAAATTAGATGGAATTTCTAGGGAGTCAAGGTCTATTTATAGATTCTGACTGGTCACGATGAACTACCGTCAGCGGCGAATCGCCATGTCTGACGGCCGCGAACGGGTACGTCCGGTGATCGATTCGATGAATAAGTACAGTTCGAGAAAGGTAAGAACCAGTTCGGTTCAAAACGTTCAGAAAAACCGGCGGGTAGAAACGTTTGGGTTTGAAAAACTGGAGGGAAGCAACAGATAGTTCACAAGGGTATTTTGGACAATAATAATAATAATTTAATAACCAATTTAGGAGTGTGAGGTGAGAGTTTCTAAACTCTAAACCGAGCCAGACGGGCGGACGGCGGCGCGTGTGTGTGGAGGACCTAAGCCCACCTAGCTCCTCCCCCTCCACAAAATGTGTAGAGACCCAAGGGCCAAGTTAGGAGTGTGAGGTGGGAGCTTATAAACTCTCCCACCTTCTATTAGTTGTCTAATGTGGGACTTCTTAAACCTACACACCCTTTTTCTCTTTTCTTCCTTAACCCACTTCTTATTCATAATCAATAGATTGTCTACACAATTTTAACATAAATTCCAACACAACTCACAAACACCATATGACATTCCTCTAAACTCGACTTTTGCATTAAACCTCGCCACTACATTATGTTTCTTGCTTCTCAAAGTCACCAATTTCCCTCCACAAATGTAAAATATCTTGAGGTAGATTGTTCAGAGGTTCTACCCCCTACCCCCAGAATCGGTGTAACCTTCAATTGAGTGAATTTTTCCTTTTGAAAATAGCAGCCCTTTTCCAGGTGACCCTTTGAGATATCTCAAAATCCTGTACACAACATTCACATGGTCTTCACTGGGAGCATGCATAAACCTACTAACCACACTTGCTGCATAGGCTATGTCAGGTCTTGTACGTGACATATAAATCAGTTTTCCTACCAATCTCTAGTATCGATTAACATCTGTTCCAATCTGATTCGAATATATTCCTAAAGTATGATTCATCTTGATTGGTGTATCGACTAGTTTGCAAGCTAGCATATTAGTTGGACACCACTATCAAAGTACCATATCTAATTTTATTTTTTTGGAGTTACCCAACTCTAATTTTGAGGCGAGTTGACTTTATCCGGTATTCCCATAAATTTTGACTCTTTGAACTGGCTATATGACTAATCTGAAATAAATTTTAACTCTTTGAATCAGCTATGTGACTAATCTGAAATACAGGACATGTCAAAAATAAATATATTTAAGCCCCTCCTAAAAATAACATACAGGGATCAACCTTTTCTTTTGGTATCCATTTTTAAATTAGACAACCGAAACAAAGAGATTGTAAATACTCAAATAATCAAAGATGTATTCATTATCTTCAAAACGAAACAAAAAAAATGTATTCATTGAATTTAAGATATTTAGTGGACTCATGGGATAAAATTTGTTATTTATTTTTTTGGTAGTTAAAATTTGTTATTAATTGTACCAAAAAAAAAAAATTGTCATTAATTTATTATATAAATTTTGTGGATATATAAATATTTTACAAAAGTGAATATAAAAATAAGAATTAAACATGAGCGTATGAAATTAGACATCAACAACAAATCCCTAAAACGAAAAATGCCGGAAGTGGAAGCTCCTCTGCCGACGACGGAAATGGAGGAACCTCAAAATGATGGAAACACCCTCGACAAAGCTCCTGTGGTTCTGTCGAAGAACGCGCAGAAGAAGATGCTGAAGCAGCAAAGGTGGGAGGCGAAGAAAGCGGAGAAGAAGGCGCTGGAGAAGGAACAGAAGAGGAGGGATGGCGAGAGGAAGCGGAAGGAATGGGAGGAGAGCCTCGCCGGCATCACGGAGGAGGAGAGAGCGAAGCTGGTGGAGTCCCGAAGGAGCCTCCGGAAGGAGAGGATGGAGAAGTGGTTGCAGGAGAAAGAGTGCAAGAGAGAGAGGCTCTTTCGAGCCAGAGAGCAAGGCCAAAACGTCGTCATCGATCTCCAGTTCTCTCATCTCATGACCCCTAACGAAATACACAGCCTCGTTAAGCAGGTTTCATGACTCCTATTATCATTATTATTATTATTATTATTATTTTTGGGAAATTTTATAGTTGTGAATGACTCAATGAAGTATATGTTTGATTGCTTTGTCTTACAAAATGTAATAAACTGGAAAGTCATCAATGAATTGAATAATCAAAAAGTATCAACAATTTACAGAGGAGGACCTATTAATAGTATTGGTCCTAGATGAAATGAATCGGTGCAAGTCCAACCATGTGGACAAAACTGTAAACTAACTATAACAGTGAACTAACCATGACATAAGGTAAACTAACTGACTATAACAGAAAGTAGGGTAAACTAACTGACTATAACAGAAAGTAGTTAAGACTATAACAGAAAGTAGTTAAGATTGATATCTATCACCCCCCTTCAAGTTGGAAGGTATATATCTATCAGACCCAACTTGGAAATGAAACCTTGAAATGGACTAGGATGAAGAGCCTTAGTGAAGAAGTCTGCAAGCTGCTGGGCAGATGAAACTGGAAACAAGCGAATGAGACCTGAATTCAACTTTTCGCGGGTAATGTGGCAGTCAAGCTCTATATGCTTACTGCGTTCATGGAAAGAAGGATTTCGAGCTAAGTGGATGGCAGCATTATTGTCACAGTAAACTGGTGAAGGATGTAGAAGAGGGACACCAAGATCAGTTAAAAGAAAAGTGAGCCATTGGATTTCACAAGTCAGGGCAGCCAAGGCTCGATATTCTGATTCGGCTGAAGATCTGCTAACAGTGCTTTGCTTCTTTGATTTCCATGAGACTAAGGCAGAACCAAGGAAGACACAAAAACCAGTAGTTGATTTCCTGGTATCAGGGCAAGTGGCCCTGTCAGCATCAGCAAAGCTGGAAAGGTGCAGGCTGTTAGTAGAAGGGAAGAAAAGTCCCTTTGCTGGTGACCCTTTCAAATAACGTAAAACCCTGATGGCTGCATCAAAATGAGGTTGCATTGGATTGGCAACAAACTGACTAAGTTGCTGCACTGCAAAGGAGATGTCAGGGCGTGTGTTTGTGAGGTACAATAAACGGCCTACAAGGCGACGATAGGATGCTGGATCATGATAAGGCTTGCCTTGATTCTGATGTAAACGAAGAGTAGGTTCCATTGGGGTGGATGCTGGTTTAGCTCCAAGTAACCCACTATCCGTTAACAATTCAAGGACATATTTTCTTTGATTGAGGACCAATCCTTTTTGTGATCGAGCAGCCTCAAGTCCAAGGAAGAATTTAAGAGGACCTAAATCCTTGATACAGAATAGGTGATCCAGATGTTGCTTGACACGGTTGATCTCATGCATATCATTTCCTGCCAAAAGCAAATCATCCACATAAACCAGTAAGGTAGTAAATGAGCTACCTGTGATTTTGATGAATAAGGAATGATCACCAGAAGACTGTTTATATCCAAGAAGTTGTAATTCTGCTGTTAATCGAGAGTTCCATTGTCTACTAGCCTGTTTAAGGCCATAGAGAGATTTTTGAAGCTTACAAACCATGTGTGGATGAGGACAATGCACTCCATTAGGGACTGACATGTACACTTCCTCAGAAAGGTCACCATGGAGGAAGGCATTGTTAATATCTAATTGTTCCAAGTGCCAATTTTGAGACACAGCTACTGCTAAGAGAAGACGAATGGTTGTAAGTTTAGCAACCGGTGAGAAAGTCTCGAAGTAGTCAACACCCTCCATTTGGTTATATCCTTTTGCTACTAAACGGGCTTTGTAGCGAGCTATAGAACCATCGGCATTATGCTTGATCTTGTAAACCCATTTTGATCCTATTGGTCGTTTTCCTGCAGGCAGATCAACAAAGTTCCATGTTTTGTTTCTATTGAGTGCCTCAATTTCTTCATTCATAGCCTTTATCCATTCATCGGATTGAGAGGCTTGTTGGTAAGTAGTGGGTTCAATAGAAGCACTAATATTATGACAAAAAGATGAATGTTTACTAAAACATTTTCCATAGGATATAACAGAAGATAGTGGATACAAACAACCTGATGTGGAGTTGGGTGTCTGCTGGGCTGTGGCTGACAGATTGCAATGAAAATCCTTCAAATGTGTGGGAAGCATCCTTGGTCTAGTGGAACGTCTAGGAATGACTTCTGGAAGCAAAGCATCTACTGCAGTGGGAGAAACAGGCAACACAGTGTGTGCATTCAATTGATCAAGTGAATGTCCAGCTACCAATTCTGAGTTGAGTCCTGTTGGCTCAATAGGTATTGAGTCAGTATCCTGATTGTAAGAGACAACATCAGTTTCCTTGACATAAGGAACATCATATGGGTTGCTAAGATCACCTCCTAGTGGCCAGGGAGCATGAGGAAATGACTGTTCCTCAGTGAAAGGAAAATGCTGTTCATAAAAGATAACATTCCTTGAGAGGAATATCTGTTTGGAACTGATATCATAAAGTACAAAGCCTTTCACTCCATCCTTGTGACCAAGATAAACACATTTCCTTGCTCTAGGGTCAAACTTTGAACGATTACCCATAGTTGTAGAAGCATAAGCTAGGCACCCAAAAGCCTTGAGATGCATGATTGTTGGTGGCTCAGCATATAACAATTCAAATGGTGATTTATTTGCTAACAGAGGAGTGTTCAACCGATTAATTAGATGAATGGCATGCACAATACAGTAAGACCACAAACCAGGAGGGATTTTACTTTGGAAGAAAATTGCTCTAGCCATGCTCAATATGTGTTGATGTTTTCTTTCCACTACTCCATTTTGCTCAGGAGTTTCAACACAAGAAGTCTGATGTAATATGCCTCTTTTATGAAAATAATCAGTCATCAAGAATTCTGGTCCATTGTCACTACGAAATGCTTTGATGGTTCTGTTAAATTGATTTTCAATGAGAGATACAAATGATTGAATGTGATTTCTCACCTCTGATTTGGCTTTCATGAGAATTCCCCAAGTAAAACGGGTATTGTCATCAACTATAGTTAAAACATATCTATAACCATGTATTGATGGAATTGAACATGGCCCCCATATATCAACATGCACAAGATCAAAAGGGGAAGCTGAACGTGTATAGCTAATAGGAAAAGGTATTTTTCTTTGTCTTGCTAAATGACAAATGTCACAAGGATCATCAATGTTTTTACATGTAATAAAAGGAAATTGGAGCATCATTGCTCTTATTACAGCTTTGGAACAGTGGCCCAAACGTAAATGCCACACATCATCTATACAGTTTTTAATAGCATAGCTATTTTTAGAAAAATCAACTATTCTCTCTGTCTTCACATTGCCTTCCTGAGTATGGATGGACTTATCTTCACTGTTGGAAGTTTGTTTAAGGACATACAATCCCTTGTCTAACTCAGCAGAACCAATCATCTTCCTTGATGGTATCTGCTGAATGATGCAAATTTGATGCTGAAACAATACATGGCAGTTAATGTCATGAATAAGCTTGTTAACTGATATGAGATTCACAGTAAACCCTTCGACATACAGGACATTTTTCAAGGTCAAACAGTCTGTGAGCATGGCTACACCAGAATAGTGAGAGTATACAACATTTCCATTTGGTAGAGAAATTGGAATGGGATCAATTTTCATGACATGACATAAACTTGCATAACAACAAGTAATATGATCTGTTGCTCCAGTGTCTAGAATCCATGGGATTGAAAAATTACCTTGAGATTTTGATGCTTCATCGCTTATGTTGAAAGCCTTAGTGTGCACCAAATTACTCACGTGTGTAGTTGAGTTTTGTTGCTGCATTTGCTGCTGAATCATGTCAAGTATAGCTTGATATTGACATTTGGTAAAGCTGTCCTTTCCTTGATCAGCCAAGTTGATATAGGGTAATGCTTCTGCTCCTTGATTCTCATCCATTACCCCAGCTGCATTTGCTCTGTGTACAGGATTTCTCTGCCTATATCCTGGAGGATACCCATGTTTCTCAAAACATGTGTCAACAGTATGGCTAGTTTTCCCACAGTGAGTGCATAGCCTAGATGATCTTGTCCTCCCTCGTCCTGCTATGAACCCACGACCTCTGCCTCGAAAGGTTCCTCGTCCTCTTGCATAATTCTGATCAGCAGAATTGTAAAAAACTTTTGGAGCTTCAAACTTCGGAACAGTACCTTCCAAGTGCATGATTTGCCTCTCTTGCTGAGTCACCAACGAAAAAACTCGATTCACATTAGGTAACGGGTCCATTAGCATGATCTGAGATCTTACATGAGTGAATTGATCATTTAATCCTTTTAGGAACCTGATGGAGTAGTCTCTGTCACGAATCTCCTTGACTTGTGTAGCAATCGAACAACATGGTTTAACACATCTACATGTAGGTGTAGGTTGCAAAGCTTCAAGTTCATCCCATAGTATTTTTAGCTTTGTGTAATAATCACTAATTGAACTAACACCTTGTTGCAGCCTGTAAATATCATCCTGTAGATTAGAAATTCTGAAAACATCACACTGTGAGAAGCGTTCCTTCAAATTATTCCACACATCAACTGCACAATCCATCCAGAGAATGGATTGCGAAATAGAATCAGCAATCGATCGGTGTAACCATGAAATCACCATGGTGTTGCACCTTTCCCACGCAGCAAACTTAGGATCTGAAGTTTCTGGAACTGAAATCGTTCCATTGACAAAGGAATACTTATTCTTTGAAATCAAAGCCATTTTCATGGCTCTAGCCCAGCCATGGTAATTTCTCCCACTCAATGGTGCAGAGACCAACACAAGTGAAGGATTTTCACTTGGATGAAGGTAATAAGGATTACCTGGATCTGAAATATCAAAAGCGGAAGCTTCAGAAGTGGAGTTCTGATTCGCCATATCACCTCTCTCGATGAATACGATTTACGAAGATGAAAAGGAACAGCAAAAATTTGAACGGCGATTATCAGAGCTACACATAGAGCTCTGATACCATCTTACAAAATGTAATAAACTGGAAAGTCATCAATGAATTGAATAATCAAAAAGTATCAACAATTTACAGAGGAGGACCTATTAATAGTATTGGTCCTAGATGAAATGAATCGGTGCAAGTCCAACCATGTGGACAAAACTGTAAACTAACTATAACAGTGAACTAACCATGACATAAGGTAAACTAACTGACTATAACAGAAAGTAGTTAAGACTATAACAGAAAGTAGTTAAGATTGATATCTATCACTTTGGATGTTAAGGAAATGTGGATAGTGAATGTATTGCTTGCTTCTAGAACTTTAAAACCTTAACCCCAGTTAATGTTGTGCATGGTCTGGTGTGTATTGATGGGCATGATTGGGATCATTGGCGAGTGAATAACATAGAAATTGTACAACGTTTCGTTTGTCTCAAGACATTGGTTGTTGTGAGCTTGAGTGAGCGTGGGGAGTCAGTATTTCAGCTTTCAAGTGTTGTATTTGATTTGTGGTAGTATACACGGGTTCGATGCTGGTTACCTATACCGGTTGAGGTATTGCTTCGGAGTCTATTCTGATGTGGGGTGGGGGTTGATGGAGGCTCACAAGAGATGGTGGTGCTTGACAGTCGACTCTGATGCCCAAGTTATTGACTGAATGAGGGGGAGAGTGCATGTAGTAGGGAGGTGCATAGATGAGAACCATAGGATATAAGCAGTCAGAAGTGGCTTGCCATGGAAGCTTCACCCTGATTATGGGATGCATGCCCATTATAGAAGGGCAGCCGAGGTGTTGGTCTGCAGGGCTGACGTGATATTTTGGTAGTTGGCTAATATGCCACACCATTAGTCCAGGACAAAATGTATAAAATCACTTCAGTTTCGGCAAATTATATCCCTTGCCAACTTTTTTTTTTTTTTTAATCGCAGCTTATTGTGGGTGACTGGGTGTGTGCCCTCAACTTTTATATTTTGTTGTTCACTGACTGTTATATTTTGGTAGTTGGCTACTAGGCCACACCATCAGTCCGGGACAATATGTATAAAATCAATTCTGTTTCGGAAAATTATATGCCTGGCTACTTTTTTTTTTTTTAATTGCAGCTTATTGTGGATGTGTGCCCTCAACTGTTATATTTTGTTGTTCACTGATCTACATCTACATCTACTCCATCCGTTATTGCTTTTTACCCGAGGTCCAATTTTTTTGTAATTGCAGTATAACTGATCTCAATTTAAAATCATGCTATCAAGTATAAACTCCCTTTATCATTAGTCATTACTATTACTGTTATATTCCTCCCAACTCCTTCGGACCCCCCCCCCCCCCCCCAAAAAAAAGAAAAAGAAAAAGAAAAGAAAACCTTCATCTCCGTTAGATGATTTATTTGTTCCCGTTTAGCAGATCAATCTGATCACTGTGTCATTGCTAACTAATGGAATTATCATTCATTGTCATTGAATCTGCAGATTATGTATTGTTATGCAGTAAATGGAAAATGCACTTCCCCTGCTCATCTTTGGCTGACTGGATGCAATGGAGAAATTGAAGACCAAGTAAAAAGGATCCCAGGCTTTGACAAGTGGATAATTGAGAAGGAAAATAAATCCTATATTGAAGCCTTGCAAGATTGTAAGGAAGATTTCGTATATCTCACAGCAGATTCAGACACTGTTCTTGAAGAACTTGATTTAAAGAAGATATATATTATCGGTGGTTTAGTGGATAGGAACCGGTGGAAGGGGATAACCATGAAGAAAGCACAAGAGCAAGAAATCCAGACAGCTAAACTCCCAATAGGAAATTTCATGAAGATGTCTAGTTCTCAGGTATTATTATACATTCTTCTCTCTCTCTCTCTGAAATTGAATCTAACATTGTATTATGCTTCTATTTCCTGCACATATAGCGTAGAAGGGCCATTTCTAAAAACAAACCATTGCACACCTTATAGCATTGTGGCATAGCACTGTGTTTTTCCTTTTATTTTCTTATGTTGAATTGATCCTTTCATCTGCAAGTGACACTTTGGTGTATTTGTGTTGGACATTGTAGTCATTTCAAAATTCGTATCAATGGATGGTGGTGTTCTAAGTTCTCAATCCGATAGTTGCATGCTAACAGATAACTTATTTCTTTGGGTGGGCTCTTTTACCCTGCAAAGTCTTCTGATATCCGACAAATGACGATACTGTAGTCTTCCACTTAGAAAATGTAAATTTCCTTTTGTATCGTAACCCATCTTATTTATCATTCGAGCTTTCAGGTTCTTACTGTGAATCAAGTTTTCGAAATATTACTCAAGTTCCTGGAGACAAGGGATTGGAAAGCTTCTTTCTTTGCAGTTATCCCTCAAAGGAAAAGATTTCTAGCCGATTCAGAAGGAAATGCAGAAGAAATAATTGAGGAAGAAAATGAACAAGAAGAAGATCTGACGGCAAGTGTTGAGGAGGTCCCTTCTAACAGTTAGAAACTTAGAATGGTCACTGTTGATCTCCTCCTGGCCATTGCATGGAGTGCACAACTGGAAAACCAACATATCGAGACAGAAGTTTCAAATCAGAGTTTCCCCTGCACTCTTCATACTGATGTAGAGAATTAGCATAATTTTTGTGTGCTTTTTGACAAATCTGTAACCGGATTCTACATCTGGTGTTACTTCTGAAGTTATTCTATGAGAATGACCCATTTTGGAATGTTGTTCTTCGGCTTTTGGATTAATTTAGTAATTTAGTTATGTAGTGATGGTAATGAGCAAATAGACCATCTATGCGGGGTAGTTGTCTGATTCAGCACTTGACTTTTTTCGATTAATAATGAATCAGTAATTCAGTACCAAAAAAACCGTTTGTAAGTGGCACTGCTTCACTTTCAAAAGTTAATGTCAAAGTTAGATTTTCAACTCTCACATCTGAGCTTGTCAATTACCATTTAATTTGAGTGTCTATCAGATCTTCGTAGGATGCTTACTTTTCATGTTGGAATTCATGCAGGCAAATAACCACAATTTTGTTGGATGACTAATTTCTAAAGTTCTTAAATTGAAAAACCAAAACCTTAAATTACTACATTTCAAAAGACTAAAATTTTATTTTCGTTTAGTTACTTTTTAAGAAAAGTAGTGTCAAAGGGAAACTTGCGCTGGCAAGAGACTTTTCGTCCTAATTGGCATAGATCTGGCAAGAGACTTTTACTTTTTTCGTTTTCAAGTAGGAATTGAATGGATGTCAAAGAGGCATCATTAGTCTTGTATAGTCCCAACTTTTTAAAAAAAAAATCACAATTACGTCCAACATCATTTCAATAATTTAGTTTAGCAGTAAATAAATGATTTTTATGCATAATTTTCTTCACACTATTCTTTACACATTACTGTTTAAATAAAAATAGAAAAATATATTAAAATATGTATTTTTCTCATTTTTTTTTTACTAAAAAAAGAATAAAAATACATTTATCCCTTTTAACTGACGGATTTTAGTATATTAATTTATCTCTTTCTATTAAGGGATTTTTTTTTTTGGCTATTGAATTATTGACTATCCTTAAAAAGTCCCTACACATTTATTTATAAAAATGTTCCATTTGTGATCCATAAAAGAAAAGACTAATTTCGATTGTGTCCCTTGATCCCCAACATAAAATGTTACCACTGCAATCCAAGTGGGGCTCTATTATTCGCCAACCCACACCATTTCACCCTCTATATATAGGCCATGCCAATGCCACCATGCATATTGGGCTGTTATCTTTCGTTTCATCAACTTTCTTCAAATAGCCTGTAGAGGCACATAAACTTATTTTCTTTGGAGTGGAGAATGAGACACCCTAAAGTATGGGGTCATTGTTCCATTTTGGTATTTTTTATTATTGCAGCCATATTTCTATTTGCTCCACTCTTCATGGGTCCAGTTTCACCACCAGGAATTCCTTTGCTTTTGGTGTTTTCGTTGGTTATTCTGGTGACTTTGATCTTTCTTATTGTAATCTCTAACTGACTACACTGCATGCTCCTTATGGTCACAAATAATGCTTACTAGTTTATGATATGTATACATGTTGGGTTCTGTATATTCTGTTGAATGATAATTAGGCTATGCAATTTTATTTTTATGATTAGAATGATTATTTTGATCCAGGGAACAATCGTGTACAACTACATGCAATTGTAATAGACATTTCTGAAGCGTTTCTCGGTGGGTGCTCTCTGCAGGCTTATATAGACATTTGTGTATATATATATATTTTTTTTTTGATAACAGTGTATATTTATTTCAGGGACAAGATAAATAAATCATGGATTTAATGTAATATTTACATTTTATGATTTGAGAATTTAAAATGTTGTAAGAGAAAAAAAAAAATCTTATATGTGCTTGTTAAATGTATATGATTCAATAATTAAATAAAAGGTTAATTGGTCATTGGCAACCACTTTTGAAAAAGAGGTTTCTTACTTATTTGATGGGAGTAATTATGTGTTTTTTTTGTGTGGATAAACCACACGTATCATTTACGGGAAACAATTTTGTTCGAGTAGAGAACATCCCAGTCATAATTAGGGCTAGCTAGCTCTCTCAAATTAAATTTTTGTTGCATTCATGAGCACTTGAACTCAATTCTATTCATTCTTGACATATTAATGTTATGTTTCGTGTTTTCTATCAACAATATATATAATATAAGAAAGAAAGGATGAGATTGATAAGGACATTTATCATATTGCATTGCTAGTCCTAAAAATTGAAGCATAATTTTTTTTTAGTGCGCGTCTTGATATACTTGTATAAATGCGAAAAACTATGAGCTATTAAGATTCATATTCATATCCTTCATCTCTGAATGTTAAACATGAATTATATAGATATTGAAATTATTGCTTTCCATTGATGATGTTTGGTTTATTGATCCATGAATGATGTTTTTAAAATTATTCGTGAATAATTAAATTTTGAGAAACTAATTGTTAATGTTTTCGCTAATGGCAAAAATATTGAAAGAAGGAGAAAGATTCTCTAATGGCAAAAAGAGAAAGAAAAAATTACCGTTTAATTTCTATATAAATGGTTTTGAAATTTGAAAATTTTTAAAACGTTGAATTATTTAAATTTGAATTTAAGTAACTCTTAAACACAATGGTTCTTGTGACTTATTAGCACGATCACGTGTATTGTATTCACATAACACAAGAACAATCAAGAAATTTTTTGTCATTTTCTAAAGTTATCTTTTCAACTAGCATCCGAACAAATAATTTTTTTTTTTTGTTATTTTCAAACATTGCCTTTTGAATTTAAATTTAAATAATTGTTGGTTATGTGCTATGGGAAATGTTATATTTATAACTTTTTTTTGTTTACAAACTCTAACAACCAAATCTTAATCGTTGATTTTCGTCAATCTAACCGTTATAATTTATTGAGTTACACTTATTAATTAATTATTACTTTTCAATAAATTATAACAATTAGATTAACGAAAATCAATGATTAAGATTTGATTGTAAGAGTTTATAAACAAAATTATAAATACAACTGATCAGAACATATTTTTACAACTGGGCCGATCATGTGATCTTCCTCTACACAAATGGCCTGGAACCGCTTTGGGTCAGAGCATCTTGATGTTGAGCAGCTTTTAACCCATGGGTCAGAGCATCTTGATGTTGAGCAGCTTTTAACCCATGGGTCTTCAATGGAACAAGATGAGGGTGTACCTGCAAGACATTCCGACGCTCAAGTCAGTTATGGTTCAAGCATGTTTCAATTATGTAGAAGAAGATGATGTACCTTGTGGTTAATAGGTATGTATTTATAGTGGAGAGATGAGCAGCTTGGGGGATGACTAGCTTTGCAAGTGGTAAGACATACTTGGAGATAAAGTATTCAGGGAGATAAGGTTTTTATGGCATGTTTGGTGCATAGTATAGGATAAGGCCTGATAGTATAAGACCTGGTAGTATAAGACCTGATTAAATTTTAATACTATTATTCGTTTGGTATGGTATTGTATAAGATAATATCCTCCAATATTTTAAAAATTAATATATTAAAAAAAATTATTTTAATATATTAATGTTGAAATGATATATTAGTTCTTGGAAATTGTACTTTTAAGCAACATTAATACATCAACCCCTTATCAGGCCTAATCCTACCCCCTTAGGCTTGATTAAGTTATACATCATTTTGATGTATACAAATGATGTATAAAGGGATCCTGCTATATAAGCTTATACTATACGATGGTCACACCAAACAACTGAAAATGTCATAACATATAGTATAAGCTTATACTATCAGGCCTTATACATCATACTAAACAGACCCTTAGGGCATGTTTGGTGTATAGTATAAGATAAGGCTTGATAATATAAAGTCTGATAGTATAAAACCTGATTGTATAAGACTTGATTAAATTTTAATACTATCCAGCGTTTGGTATGGTATTGTATAAGATAATATCCTCCAATATTTTAAAATTAATATATTAAAAAAATTATTTTAATATATTAATATTGAAATGATACATTAGTTCTTGAGAATTGTAATTGTAAGCAATATTAATACATCAACCTCTTATCAGGCCTAATCCACCCCCCTTAGGCCGGATTAAGTTATACATCATTTTGATGTATTAAGAGGTTATGCTGTATAAGCTTATACTATACGATGGTCACACCAAACAACTGAAAATGTCATAACGTATAGTATAAGCTTATACTATCAAGTCTTATACATCACACCAAACAGGCCCTTAATGTTGAGAAGCTTGCTGTCATGTAGCCTTTAATATTGTGCAGCTTGATGAGATGAGCTTTGCAGCCTTTGTGGACTAAAACTTTGCTTCATTGTGAAAGTTTTTGATTTGAGCCTTGTATTTTAATAATAGATATCCAGATCAACAACCTTCCTCATGTACTATATATATGTTATAACGTTTGTTTCTTAATGGACGATTAGCGCAATTCTCGAATTGGAGGATTGGGTTATTTTTTGAAATATGTAACCTTTAAAATAAAATGAAACCATTGTTGGGAATGATAAGTTTTCAACCAACACTAACGGGTGTATTAGATTGAGATTTTAAAGGATTATTTTTGGATAAAAATCATTGATATCCAATTAGGATTTTAAAGAATTGAAAAAAGTCATTTGATATTAGATTAAGATTTTAAAAGATTATTTTAGAGTCCATCCAAATTCAGTGATATTCAATCAGGATTTTAAACAAAGGAAAATTAGGGGGGTGTATTGGATTATGATTTTAAAAGACTTTTTTGAGATAAAAAATCCTACAGATTTTAAAAGACATTTTAGAATTGGAGAGACTTTATAGATTTTTTTAAAAGACTTTTTTTACAATCAAGATTTCATAGGATTGGATTTTAAAGGATTTTAATAGAATTCATAAGATTTGAAAGGACAATGTGAATTAATAAGATTTTAAAAAACTATATAAATTTTTAACAAATATTCAAAATTACAAGAGTCAATAAAAACAAATAACAAAGAAATGCAATGATATTAATAAAAAAAAGTAAAGTTAACAACTGGTTGGAAATTATCTCAAAAATTACTAAGCAACAACTCTCCACATATCAATAAAATATAATATAATTTTCTCAATGAGTTTGAGTTTGATTTGCGAAAATAATAACCATATATCAACAGTTAACTTCCAAATTAAATATTAATTAATGAGTTTGATTTACGAAAATAATAACCATTGATTGACGGAAATCAACGGTTAAGATATGATTGTAAAAGGTCGTAAACAAAAATA